CAGAACTTAGCAGTTGTGCACACGGGCTCAAGGAAGAAGTTTCCCAAACCCAGCCTTGGTGTGTTTCTCAGCATCCCCTGCGCCAGCCATCACACCCCACTCTCCCTCACATCCAGTGAATAATTGTACAACGAACAACTGCTGTCTCTACCCTTACTGGGGACCCCAATCTTCTCCGTGAGCTTACACACAAGTTCCGAGTCCCCTCAATGCCTTGCAGGTGAGGTGTTCCTATTTCTATTTTGCAAGTGCAGAAGCTGAGTCGCAGGATAGTTAAAAGCAAATCACCCATCAACACTTAGTGAGTAGGAAAGCTGGGCCTTGGACCCATCTATCAGCCTCCAGGGCCGAGCAGTTTGCACTGTGTCACCTCAGAACACTAAATACAAGTATGAAGTGGGTCCGAGGGAATCCAACCAGACCTGACGTGGATGGGACACTCACTCGCGTCCTGGGACCCTGCTCCTGAGTCAGCTGTGTCCCATTCTCCAAGGGCCAGCATGAGGGCTTTTAACTGGTTCATGCCCCTAGCAACCATGGTCCTTGAGCTGCAGGCAGCAAAAACCTAGTCCAGCCAACAAAAGCAAAGGGATTTTCTTGGAAGGCTACCTAGGAGTCACAAAATCAGCGAGAAGGCTGCAAGTGGACAGCTCTAGACTGAAATGAAGCAAAGCATCTCTTGCCAGAGTAGATGGGTCCCCAGTGTCTTCAACCCTCTGCTCAGATTGTCCTGACTTGGGTCAGAGTGTACACTAGGGAAGAGATGATAGATAACGTCCTAAAAAGAAACCACGTACTGGCAGCTGGGCCCCTGTGCCGCACAACCCCAGGGGCAGCATGGATCCTAACGTGAACGGTACGCCCTGGGGCTGTAGACCCTCCAGTCCTACGGATGAAACCCGGCAGCCCCGCTGAGTTCTCTGCTCTCTTAGGTTCACCGCCCACACCCTCTGCTCACCCCTCACACAGTTAACTCTATAGCTAGTCATTGTCTCTTCCCCAGTCGCACTGGAAGATTCCTGAGGATATGATTCAGTATCTCAACATTTCTATTTCTAATACCACATCATACAGAGCAGCAGTTTCCAATAAGCCTCTTGCTTATATCCACAACCAAATATGTTTCCTTTTAACAACGAATGGATCAGTACATTTAGAGCAATGAAACAGGAATGTCTTTCCCCGCCTCCAGGCTTGCGCGTCATCCCTGCAAGGTACCAGGAAGTGACCGTGGGAAGGAAGGGTAGGACATGGGCATTGAACAGAAGCCAAAGGCTATGCTGAGCACAGGTCTTGTGGTAGATGTTCAGGTCTCGGGTTGCCCTCATGCCTCTGATAAGGTTCCATGTGGGCAGCTGCTCTGGCACCAGCCACGCTGCCCCTGCCCCTGCCCCTTAACTGGGGAGAGCTTGGTCTGTCTCCAAATACCAACTGAGCGGCTGTTAAGTTCCAGGTGCTGGGTGAGGCAGGAAATCACCGTGCCATTAAAGAGCCCGGCACCCAACGCCATCAATAAACCGATAAGCGTTTGTTCTCCTGCATCCTCCCCCACCATCCCTCCACCCTCGTCACCGCATTGGCTGCTCTGAGTGGCTCCTTCCCTAATCCTGTCTTCTCTGTCAGCACGTGCCAGGCCTGGACCCTTCCAGCAGAAGGAGGATTACAATAGCATGAGCAAGAATGAAGTTGGTTGGCAAACCGCATCCTGGCTCCGGGTCTGCTCATTTGATGGCCTCATTCATTAACCATATATTGCACCCTAGCTGTGTGTTGGGCTCTGCGCAGTGTATAGGGAGCTGTGTAAACCAGGAGGCACAGAGGTCCTGACCAGAGAAGGAAACAGCCCTGTAAACAACTGAGTACAGTTCTGGGTGCTCAGTGATTCAGGTGGTTCACATAACATTCTTGTCTACTGTGGCATCAGCACCTAGCATAGCGCCTGGCCTCTTTTAAATGGACGCCGGTAGTGTGGGTTGGCGGATGAACTGGGCAAGTCCTAGTTGAGTGTTTACCTGTGCCTGTCCCTCTTTGAACTCTTGTTACAAGAGTCTTACGTGTGCTAAATGTGCACAACATATGGGGTGGATATTATTATCACCCCATTTCCTGATAAGGAAACTGAGGCACAGAGATGTTAGGTAATCCATTTACTTGGCAAGAAAAAGAGTCAAGATTCAAGCCCAGCCCGGAGAGTCTGGCCCCAGAGTCTGTGCCACTCTGCTCGTCGTATGCTAAGTGCACGGTGCTGGGGGATCGCAGAGGAGATGGCCACCGTCTGAGGTTTCAGTATTCAACACAGACACGAACCCACCCAGCACCACAATGTCTCAGCCCCTGGACCCCCTCACCTCCAACACCCAAGCCCCCCTTTCCTCCTCAGCACTCTCTCCCATGTGAGCCCTGCACGTGGTCACTGCAGCAAGGGCGCCATTGCTGAAATCTCGCCGTCAAGCCGTCCTCCCTGTGGCTTCACCACATCCTTCAGCTCAGGTACTCTAGGTCGTGGATCGCAGTGACGGAAACTCCATGCAGCCGAGTCTGCCGCAGATTTTACTATCGATCGACCCCTCCCGCCTCCATCGTCTCCCGCACCCTCCTCAGATTCCATGGTCTGTTATCATCAACTTCCCTCCATCTCTTCCCAACAGCCTTGCCTTCCTCTACTTACATTTGTCCAGCAAGACCCCAACTCAGCCGTCTACCCCCTCTACCCTTGATCAGAGCTACTGAATGTTGCTGAGGAAATACGCATCTGCGCTGACTGCAGTCTCTTGAAGTTTATGCCACGAATCTCAAAACAAAACCCAAAAAACAAACAAATAAACAAATGCAACACTGCCTAGCAATCCTGTCGTTTTTCAAGTAACTTTCTTCAGCACTGTCCCCGTTCCTCCACCTCTTTGCCCATGACCTTCACGCAGAAGTAATCAGACAGGAGCCTGCCGTTGGTCCACTGGCCAATCTACAGATCTGCCTACGTCTGAACCTGTTCTGCTCTGTTTTCTCTCCTATAAACATGGGAGCAACCCTTGTGCTCGTCTCACGGGCAAATCCCTCCCCTCCCGCCTTCTTAAACACTCATCCTTCCCATTATTTCCTCTCTTCCGCATCTTCAATCTCTCTCAAGATCATTAACTTCAAACGACAAATATGGTACAGTGTCTCCATCTTAGAGAAACAACCTTCTTAACACACACCCTCCTCCAGTTTTCATTCATTTCTTCTGCTTCTCTCACCTCCGTATCAGTCTTCAACTCACCCCATTTGGGCGTTTGTTCTCACTTCTCCAGTGTTCCTGTCAAGGTCACCAAATGACCTCCATGTTGCCAAGTCCACTGCACATTTCTGTCCTTATCTTACATAAACTCTCAGCTGCATTCAACATGGTTGACTGTACCCTCCTTTCTGAAAACCATCCATCTCCTGGCTTCTCTGCCCCCTCCACTCCCTGGTTACCCTCCACTCCGTGGCCATATTCCTTCTTAGTCTCCTTGGCTGTCCTCCTCTCTTCTCCCTAACTCCTAAATGTTGGAGGGACCCAGGAGTGGTCCTGGCCCTTCCCCCTTCCCTGCCTGTTAAGTCTATCTTCCTAGGAGAGGTCTCATCCTCATCCTGACTCCAGTAGGTCCTAGCTCTATCCCTGACCTCTTCCCCCATATTCCAGATTCATGTGACCAACTGCTTTCAAGGACCCTTAATAACCACCTCCCAGAAATAGGGCTCTTTAGTTAACAAACACACACACACTCTTTCTTCTCGAGCCTCCCCCATCTCAGTGAATGGTACCCCATTTACCCAGATGCTCGGTCCCAAACCCTCCCGATACCATCCTGATTCCATTAGTTTTTCTCCATCTCCCCCCACCACCACGCTTCACCAACCCATCGCTCTCCTCGGCCACTAAACAGCCTCCACTCTAGGCCTCTCCACACAGCGGAATGATCTCTTCAAAGCATAGATTAGGTAACTTCCCTTGACTTTTTGCCACCTGGCTCCTCACTGTGCCCTCAAGGTCCTGGAACGTCTGTCTCCCCTCAGTGTTTCCAATCCCTTCCCAGCATGGACCCCTGTGTTCACTCTGCTTTGGTAAATCCATCTGCCTTCCATCCTTCCACATTCTCAAACTCCTTCCATATCAGGGCCTTTGTCCTTATTCCACGGCACTGCGGTGCTCTTCGTCCAGCTCTTTAAGTAACTGCTGTATTTAAAATAGATAACCACCAACAAGGAGCTACTGTACAGCTCAGGGAACTCAGCTCAATATTCTGTAATAACCTAAACGGGAAAAGAATTTGAAAAAGAAGAGACACGTGTATACGTATAACTGAATCACTTTGCTGTACCTGAAGCCGACACACAACGTTATGAATCAACTAGACTCCAATATCAAATAAAAGTTTTAAATAGTAATAATAATAATTGCCTCACTCTCCCCCCTCAGGGAGATCGTACCATGCAACGTCGTCTCCTTAGAGATGCCTTCCCGGACCAGCCACCTTCTCAAAACATGGCACCTCCCAGTTTGTAACTTTAGTAAATATTTATTGAGCGCTTTCCAGACATTGTTATCAGGGTTTTATGTTGATTAACTCTCCTCATTCCTCTCAGCTCTGTTACTGTCATTATTATACCCATCTTAAAAACGAGGAAACTGAGCCCAAAGAGATCAAAACTATCTAAGGTCAATCAGTTGTCAGAAGTTGTCTTAGGACGCAACCTCGAGCATCCCAGGGCCAGCCTGGCCTCCTAACCGTCCCTCCATCTGCCTCCCTCCCATGACCTGCGTGTCTCCTTCTCGTGCTTTTTACAGTCTGGATGCTATATCTCATTTAGTGATTTATGTACCGTCAGTCTCCTCATTAGCATATAAACAACGTTTGCACAGAGACATTTGTCTTCATCAATGGATCCCCAGAACACAGCAAGCACAGATAACAGAGCAAATCGTTCTTGTTTTCAATGACTGAATGACCTTATGTGTGTTTTGTCTGTTTCTACAGAGCAGATTTATTATGCCGGCCCTGTCAATAATCCTGGATTTGAAATTCCTGAGGTAAGGGTTTTGCTTTCTGTTTTGTTTTGTTCCTTAATTACTGTATCTAGCAGTTTCTCAAAGAAGGAAACACAGAGGAGGTGGAGGAGGGAATTAAACTAAAAACTTAAAGCTTTTGTTGGCCCGTCACGAAGAAAACCCTTTCTCAGTGAGGCGGCTACCTCCTCGTGGGCACTTACTAATGCATGACGCACAGGTTTTGGCATTTTGGTATTTAACGTTTTTGTCCTGTGGGGCAGCCCCTGTGTAGACAGCTCCCGTGGGGAGGGATCCTGGGGCCCTGTCCTGCAGGTTGGCCGTGTCTGGGGGGCCTCCACATGGCTAGAGCTGTTGAGGCAAGGGCGGCAGCCACAGACGGGCTGGTCGTTCAGAGAAAGTAAGAAACACACAGCCCAGAAAGCATAAAGCTCCCCAGTTACTGTTCTCGCACAGTATTCACGAGCTACCACCCAGTAGATAAAATGACCACGTCCTGCACATTCACTAGTGAGGTTCACAGCTACGAGTAGATTTTTCCTCCAATTCCTTTTCATTCAATATACTGTGACTTTATGAAACAGCTGCACTCCAGCAGCTCTGACATAGCGATCCATTCGCAACACACGACTCCTGAGAGCATCCTTCAGAAATACAACAAAAGAATCACAAAAATGTAAATCATTTTCATCTTTTGGTCTTCAATTTCATCCTTTGCATCTTCCGAAAGCTGATAAGACTCTAGAAAAGAATCTCCTTCTCCATAAAGAATCTCTTGAACTCGTTTCATTTCCCTGTATGTCTCCTTTCTGTCCCAGCCTCTGGGTTCCTCAGTTTCAAGCCATCAAGTCTCCAGACTATGTTGGACTTTCACTAGAATTGCTCTGGCAGTTGGGAAGAGTCCAGCCTTCCAGAGTTTCCCCCTCAGGCCTTTCAGCATAATATGAGAGTTGCGCAAACTCTCTTCCCGTCTAGGATGTGAGACAATTTCTCTCACATAGTTTTTTGCCTTAAATCTTTGCCATTTGAATTCTTTTTCTTCCTCCATTTTCCTTTGGAGCCTCCCCGCACCTCCACTGGAGACTGACTTAAAATTTGCAAACAATTAACTTTTGTGTTGCGTTATTAAGTTAAAAAAAAAAAAACAGTTACTCTTAGCAATTGCTGTGAAATAGAGGCGAAAGAACTTAAAGTCACAGGATCACTTTGAAAGAAAAGGTAGCAGAGATGTAAAAAGCTTTATTGCAACCACCTGGGATGCATGAGTGAGCGCATTACCTGCGTCCCTCAACAACAAACGGTACTACTCGGGGCACTGCCCGACGTGAGACTGAGACAAGGCCAGGTCACCTGGCCCCTGGCCTCCTTGTTCAAGCATCCACAGATGCCCTCTGCCCAGCCCTCCTACCTCTTCCCCTTCTGACGCCTGGGCCTGGGGAGCAGAAACCTGGCCAGCCCTGACCCCACCCCAGCCAGGCCTGACAGGGGACAGAAGCAGAGTGGACACATGTGATCTGTCACGTATGCAGCAGAGGCAGCTGGAGGCCTTAATCCCCAACTTGAGCTCCCACGCTGGCCCAAGACCAGCCCGGCGCCCCTGGCTGACAGCCAGCCTGCAAGGCTCCTAGACTTTGCTTCCTAATATGGGACAGAAATGGTGTGAAGACCATTGGTCTTGGTTTTAAAAGACCTGCCCCAGATCCCGCCTCTTCCTGCCAAATCCCCCAGAGATGGGCTTTGTGCTAACTCTACCCCCGCTTGGCCGAAAAGGTTTCCACTCAGCAGTCAGTCTTCAGTGTCTTGGTATTATTTTCTTTTTATCACAACCAGCCCCTTGGCCCCGATTGAAGTGCTGCCTGCAGCGGGCATCTGTCTATGGCTGCCACTTTCTGACTTAGAATTTAGAGGCCCTTTGGGCTTCCAACTTGGATGCCAACTGGCAGGTACGGCCTGAACCGTGTAAGTGCAGAGGGTGCAACTACAGACTCCTACCTGACAAATCCAGCGCTCTTCAAACAGCCGAAAGACCCCTGCTCTCTGTGCATCATCCTTTCCTCCTGCCCACAGGTGCGCCCTGTTGCCTAAATACTCTCTCCCCTTAAAGCAGAGTATGTGTGTCTTGTAATTCGTAATCTGGAACGCCTTCATTCAAATTCTGCTTCTTTCACTAGGCTTAGAAAGCAATGGGAAAAATTCAGTTGGTTTTCAATAACTTTGTGTGGTGTGTACTTAAATGCACAGGGACAGTTAAAAGTAGCTGATGGTGATAACAATGACTGTGACAATGAAACACCATCAGACGCAAATGTGAGCTGGTCTTTACTCGGAACTAATTCTCTGACTTTTACGCTCTGATTTAAACTCCTAACAGTGCTTCTGAAATCACAGCTGCTGATATCTGAGCAGACTCAGGGAGCCTAGACCGTCAGAGAATCTTCAAGGTGAAGGGTGCCTGGAGTCACCCTCAGCAGCCCTCACGCCTGAGACACCATCAGTGCTGGGGAACCCACTCACTCCTGGGCCTCTGCTAATTGCTAGAAAGCACCTCTCTCGTAGCCCGAGACCTTTCATGCAACATCTACCCAGTGGTCTGATCTGTTCCTTCCCTCCGGCTTATATAGATTAAATGTCTTCCCTTCCTCGGGTGACAGGCTCCTCAAAGACGTGCCAGAGTTTCCTGAGCTTTTCTTCTCGGGACAGAGAGTCTGCAGATTGGCCCTACCACGTGGCTTGCGGGGCCGGGTAGAGCTTCAGCCACGAGCACGGCACACGTGGCTCAGGCCTGGGTTCCTTCTGCAGCTCCACACGGCCTGGCTGGCATTCCCTGACCACAGAGGGGGTCCTCTGCAGTGCACTGTCGCCAGAAAGGAACCCTTAAAAGGCAGAAATACTTTCTCTAGCAGAGCGTTTGGGTTTCCTGCCATTGGATTTTGCTCCCCCAGCTGCCTCCCTCTTCTCAGGAAACAACACTTTATCCCTCCTGTTGCTCAGGCCAGAGTCCTCGGGGTCACCCCTGACCCCGCTCTTTCCCACCCACGTGGGTTTCCTCAGCCAATCCTATCGGCTCTTCTTTCCGAATCCATCCAGAATCCCGCCCCCTCTCCGCATCTCCACCACCTGCTCCAAACCTTCGCCACCTGCTACCCGGTCTTACTGCTTCCTACCTGCATCCCCGGCTCTTCCCCCGACGGCCACCGGAGGGATCCCGCTGACAGGCACGTCGGGACAGGCCACGCCTCAGGTGGAAGCCATTGCCAGCCTCTTCCCCTCTCCCCCCGAGCCCGTCGGGCCCTCACTTTCCGCAGTCGGCATGGCGTGCTTCCGTACCACCTTCAGGTCCTCACCCCAACGTCACCTCCTCAGGGGACCTGCCTCGACCACCACCCTCCCTAAAGCTGCAAACCAGCACACACCAGCCCAGCAACCCCTGGTCAGCCCAGCACCCCCGTGGGAGCTCCGTCGGGAACGCGAGACCCCTCAGGCTTAGCCATTCATCATGGGCACCACCTGTCTCTCCCAGCCAGCCCGGGAGCCACAGCGGGTGGGGACGGTCTGTGTGGTTCGACTTTATCCCCGGTGCGTAGAGCAGAGGCTGCACGTAGAAGGGCTCCGCAACCGCTTGCTGAATGTTGATGGTTCTGGGCTCACACACCTCCTGCTTTCCCCGTATCCCTTCAGGGAGAGTACCAAGTTCTGCTAGAACTATACACCCAAGACCACAGCACCGTGGCCTGCGCCAACGCCACCATCCTTTGCTCCTGAGCACCTCGAAGCGCGGCGAGCTGTCCCGTGGGGACCACAGCTTCCCACACTCATCCTGCCGTGAGGAAGGACCAGCGGACGACAGAGCAAGCCTCTGGGGACGCGCAGGTGCTGGTTTCAGCCCCAGGACCACAGGTCGCCAGGCTCCACGGATGTAATGAGGCCCCTGAAACATCTGCTTCTCAGGAGCTCCTGGGGGTCATCCAGCAGTCTTGAGGGACCGTCCCTCCTCCCTAAGTGCTCACCTGACACCACTCCCCTTTCTTCAGCTCCTGGGGGCCCTTCCTTGGTCGCCCAAAATAAAGAAACCGGCACCACAATTTTACCTCCTGGTTTGTTAAAGAATCTTGGTACAATCCTGTAGCTCTAACATAAGTTCCTCCGCACACAGAGCCAGGGCTGCCACGGCATCAGTGATGCTGAGAGATTCAGGACAGTGGTGGCCCAGTGGCAATGACAGCACTGGAGAGTGAGCCGTTCCTTCTCCTGGGGAAGCCCAGAAGCTGACGAAACCGCACAAGCAATACATCACAGTCTCCCCTGAACAAACCTCATTATCCTGAATCGTGGCTGTCCTGGCCCCAGCGCACCATGGTCCTCGTGAATGCGTTCGTTAATTCACTCAGCAAGTCACAGCCGGTCACTCACATGCTGGGCCCTGTGCTCAGCACTTAGGCTACTCCAGGGAGCAAGACAGACACTGTCCCTGCCCTCATGGAGCCTGCAGTCCCCTGGAATATTAAAAAGCCACATGTCCACCAGGGGCCACATCATGCATGTACAGAGACCCTCCTTTGATGCCCCCTGTAAATGATGAGGTGGCCTGTCTGTTGCCAGAGCCGTTTGCTGTCCCTGGTGTCCCCTGTCCCCGGATGTGCAGCATCCCTTGGGGGCTCCACCTCCCCTTCCACACCCTGTGCTCCCCCCACCTCTCTCCTTCCAGCATCCCTGGGGGGCTCCACCTCCCCTTCCACACCCTGTGCTCCCCCCACCTCTCTCCTTCCAGCATCCCTGGGGGGCTCCACCTCCCCTTCCACACCCTGTGCTCCCCCCACCTCTCTCCTTCCAGCATCCCTGGGGGGCTCCACCTCCCCTTCCACACCCTGTGCTCCCCCCACCTCTCTCCTTCCAGCATCCCTGGGGGGCTCCACCTCCCCTTCCACACCCTGTGCTCCCCCCACCTCTCTCCTTCCAGCATCCCTGGGGGGCTCCACCTCCCCTTCCACACCCTATGCTCCCCCCACCTCTCTCCTTCCAGCAACCCTGGGGGGCTCCACCTCCCCTGCCACACGCTGTGCTCCCCCCACCTCTCTCCTTCCAGCATCCCTGGGCTCCACATCTGGCCCCCTTGCTCCTGTAGAGGGGCCGAAGTCGGGAGACTGGGTTGACCTTCTCAGCTGATAAAAGTGCCACTGTGTTAGAGATTAAAAGAGAAAAGAAATGCATAGTTTAAAAGTGTCTGTTGCTATTAATTACTGTCTGTACATAGTTGAACTACCCGGAATAGCAGGCCATAAATGCCTGGTGAATCAAAACCTTAAAAGCAGCATCTGAGGTTTTCTGGGTTGTGGAGAGAGAAAATTATAGCAGTGTCCTCGCCTACGCCCAAAATGCTCCAGAGAAAAGCCCTGCTGTGGCCATGCCAGGCTCGGGGGCAAACCTCTGAACACACACAGTGGACACTGTTGTGTACCCAGACAGCAAACTGGATTGCTGGTCCTTCCCCATCCCCTCCGGTGAGACATTTCCCGCTCCCTTTCCAGAAACATCCCTACATCCAGTTAAGGGCCCTGGGTGGCTCCCGAGTACTCATATGTTCCGACGGCTCAGGACAGCTGTCACAGCCTTCCATAGACAGGGACAGGGAACAGGGAACAAGCAGATCGAGCTGTTCCCTTTCCTGTCCTTCACTCTCTTCTTAAAATTCATTGAGTGTGTGTGTGTGTGTGTGTGAGAGAGAGAGAGAGAGAGAGACAGAGAGACAGAGAGAGTGAGAGAGAAAGAGAGAGAGGGAGAGACAAAGGGAGAAAGAGGTTTAGTTAAACAGAGATTTCCACACATGCACAGGCTGACCCTAGCCTCGACTGAGTACATAGGAGCACACAGCTGTTGCACTAAGGGTGTAATTTGAGGGGGGAAAAGAAAGTGTTTCTCTGCCTCCAAAATATGTCTGTCCTTAGCGTGGGCCTTACATTTCACTGAGTTTCACTCCTGCAAGTTGAGAAAGCTTTTCACTGTTTATAACTCTCCTATTAAAAAATACAAACAGTCCCGGAAGGAGAAACGCCAGAATCATTATCAAAACTCCAGTAGAACAGAATAATGAAGATGAAGTTTGGAAGTGTCATTCCAGGAAGAGGGAGGTGTTAAGGGGCGGTGGGCAGCCCAGGGCAAAAGCCCTCTTAGTGGGTCACCCACGTGTGCCTGGGTCGGGGTGGGGGGGGGAGGGCGACCTGCCAAAGAACTTCATTACTTCTCATCTTCTCATAAATGATTTGTCACTGTTTCAAAATCAACATCAAGTATTCTAAAAACTTCTCCTGAATAAAAAAAAAATCAGTTTTATTCAAGATTATGCTATACCTCCAAACCAAAGAACTCTCGTGGAAATCAGCCAGCTCCAGTCATTTTGGTGTCCGTAGGCCCTTCCTTACATTTTAAGGGAGTCTGTGTGCGTGTGTGTGTGTGTGTGTGTGTGTGTGTGTGCGTGTGTGTGTATTTTTTAAGGGAATGCCAATGCCCAAGGAAAGCTTTGTCAAGCAAGGTCCAGGCAGACAGCTGAAGATCCATTTGGCCACTGTGATTGCCCCACTCGGAACGTTCAGCTGTAAAGAACGGAGACCAGCTCTGTCTGGTTAAACACGCAGCTCAGCTCTGACTGCTAAGTCCCAGGTGGTTCAAGTATCAGCCGTGGTTTGCTACACAGGTGCACACTGTCATCAGCACTTCACCTCTATTTCTCCAAAGTTCCTTCACCTCTGGCCTCCCTGAATATTGGCTTCACCCTCAGACAGTCTTTCCTGCAATGGCAAATAGTTTCACACTTGTCCAAAGTACCAAGGAGAGAGACCTTTCTCCCAAAGCCCTGCATTCACCCTGATTTCACTGGCTTGGGTCACATGACCACTCCTGGCCAATCACTTTGGCCCCGTGCTGATTGGCTTGCCTAGATCACATGACCCACCACCAGAGCTGGATTGGCATTAGTCCCACTGGAACCACACCATTCCTTAAGTGGACACTAGGGAGGTTGGAGAGGGTAAAGGGAGGAAAGGGGGAGATGCTAGTAGTGGAGGGTTCATCTAGAATTAGGCCGGCTTTTCAGCTGTTAACTGGGCGAGTGCCTCAGATTCTCTAAGCCTCTGTTTCCTCATCCGTATGTGTCAACAATAATAACACCTGCCTTACAGAAATACCCTGAGAATTAAACGAGAGAACAGTGCCAGGCACGTAACTCAATGAATGTGAGTTATTACTCTGTTCAGGAGGTGCCTTAGTCTGTTCGGAATGCTATAATAAAAATACCATAAGCTGGGTGGCTTACAAACAACAGACATTTATTTCTCACATTTTTCTCAGTTATTTCTGGATGCTGGGAAGACCAAGACCAAGTTGCCAGCAAATTCAGTGCCTGGTGAGGGGCCGCTTCCTGGATCACAGACAGCTGTCTTCCTGCTGTGTCTTCACATGGTGGGAGGGGTGAGGAAAAACTCTCCGTGGTCCCTTTTATAAAGACACTAATCACCTAATCACCTCCCAAAGACCCACCACCAATACCATCACACTGGGGGTGAGAATTTCAACATATGAATTGGGGGTGGGGGGGACACAAACATTCAGTCTATAGCAGGTGGGTATTCACCTTGGAGCTGAAGCCGTGTTTCCTAATTTCCCTCTCCAATCCCTCCGACATCATCACGACCAAACTGTCTTTGAGCCTTGACCTCACCCATAAGCCCACATTCCTTTTTAAGTCCTGAAATGGTTCCTTGGCACCTTGATTTCTTCAAAGCATAGCTGGTTTAAGTAGACCTGGGATGTTCACCGAGCTACATGAGCTCTGAAAAGAATTCAAGGGAAACACTAAGGTACAAGTTTCCCCTGAAACAGAAACTTTATAACCAGGCCAAAAAAAAAAGGCCTAGGAAAGAAAATGTGTGTAATTTTTAATTAAACTTGTTTCCTGTTTAAAAAAAAAAAAAAAAAAAAAAAAAAAAACACATATTCAGGATGTGAAGAACTAAATGTAACAACTGCAGATTTAACAATTACATCTGCCAAAAAAAAAAAAAAAAAAAAAAAAAGATACACATTCAGGATGTGAAGAACTAAATGTAACAACTGCAGATTTAACAATTACATCTGCCTTCAGAAAAAAATCACCCAAAATAGCCAGTAAGAGAACGGAAAAGGCCACATCCTGATTTTGACCCGGACTTGTTAGGGAGGGAAAGTTTATCATTCCAGCAGTTCAATTTCAGATTTGAATCAGCTACAATTTTCTCAGTCAACTTTCTCAGACGAGTTCTTCTGTCTAGTTTCCCGATCATTTTATCTGGCAAGCAGGGGTTCCAGAGGAATTGGGAAAGAGCTACTTTACATCCAGTGTGTAAATAACTTCAGCTGTTCCATTGGAACTGAAGCCCTCAGCTGCCTTCAAATGCACGAGCCTGAATTTTCTTTCTCCTCTAACCCAGCTTTCCTTTAGAATGCGTGACAAAACCAAATTCTTTCCTCCAGTATCTTGGTCTCCTCACTCCTGAGGAAAAGCATATAAGCATCGATGCTATTTCTTCCTCCAGCTGATATTTTTATGGATTCCCTGAAACCCAAGCAAGGATGGAAAGAAAGAAAACATCTATGCAGCACTGAAACCTAACAAAGGCCGCCGGCGGAAGCAGAGACGGGAGGGGCAGGGAGCAGCCGTTCTGAGGGTGGAAGGAGATCGGGGCACACACGGGGCCACAGCAGCCTCTATATGGACCAGAAGCCGGAGTTCG